GCATTTTATCAACCTTTCAGATCCACACAGTTCACATCTTCAGAACAATCAGCTCTTTAACGTTTTCTTCTTCTTTGTTTATTATTCGTTTCTTCCACAAGTAATTGACAACACAAATGTCAGCAAGAAAAAAGTGACCTGAAGTGGACTGTAGGGGTCCATCTTGGTCAGAAGCTCAGCCTTGATTGGTCAGAGGGATGTCCCTGATTGATCAGAAGCTCAGCCTTGATTAATCAGAAGGATGTCCTTGACTGGTCAGAAGCTCAGTCTTGATTGGTCAGAGGGATGTCCCTGATTGGTCAGAAGCTCAGCCTTGATTAATCAGAAGGATGTCCTTGATTGGTCAGGAGCTCAGCCTTGATAGGTTGTGAATTTATTTTTCAGGTTCTTGCGTCGTTTTCAATTCTTGTGGATTGGCTTTTTGACCAGGTAGAGTTTCTCCTGAGGCAACAGCTGCAGACCATGCAGAAAGCCCCACACAGTCAACAGTTCACTGTCATCATGAAGGAGAAAAATGATTACTAAAGTTCAATGAAATAGTCAGGCTTTTCAGAGTGTGAATGAGACTTTGGTCTTTGTTGTCTGTACAAAGGGATAATGAGTCCCCACTCCCTCTCAGACAAACTACATGACCATGTACCTGGAAATATTTTTATATGCTGGCTGTCGCTTCATGATCCCTTCCTACCTGAACTTAACCAGGCCTGGAGCAGGTTAGTAGTGCAGTGTAAACTGCCAGGATGAAAAAGAGATTAAAAAGGTTTCCACCATTGTGAGACAGAAAATTCAGGGTTAAATGTAATTATGTTCAAAGTCTTCTATGGCTGTAATGAAAATATTGACGTCCCTCCACAAGGAGAATTGCTTTATTAGTTTCTCCTGGAGTTTGAGGCTGTGTGAAATACACTGATCTTTGTATTCTGGTAGCCAGACTCCAGCCAAGGAACATTTTTACCAGATAATTACCTTCAGCCAAAGAAACATCATTTCATTGCATTTTACTGGCCTACAGTAGTAACTGATGGACATCTCAGAAATGTTTATCAGCATCTGTTTGCTTGGTTTTCTTGATTTCATTTTAGGGATGAAAAAATATTCAGCAGTAAGAGCAAAAGCATAGCGTCTTTATTCACTGTGAAGAGGCCTGAAAATCCAGAAAAAACAACACACTTTACTAAAGAATGAACTTTACTCATTTAGCACAGAAGAGAAAACCACTATTATTACTCAGTAATGCTAACCCTTAGAAACCTAAAATTTGGGGGATTCTTTGGTATTTTTTGGGTCAAGTACAATTACAATTGCAATTTTAAAGTTTTTACATGAGACCATTACACATGCCATATGTTATTACTTTTAGGAGAAGCTGGGCTACCCAGATATGCCATTGTTTGACATGTAAATACTAACAGAAATTAGATATATTTGAATTTGGGTCATTTCAGATCAAAAATATATCTAGCACCTGCTAAATTTTGTATATTTTTAATTAAAGTGATCTTGAAAACAAGTGCAGTAGTAGTTATCTTTTCAGAAATTGTTAGTCTGGAGTGTCTATGAGATGAAAGTGTAATAATTTGGATGGTGATTCATTCTGTTGGTTATTATGAGTAAAACTAAACAACCAGCATAAGGCGGACGTTTTTTATTGATTTTCTGTCTTCTTGGATTGATGCTCAGTGCTAAAACTCTGATACACAGCAATAGGCTTTATTTTTAATTACAAATTGAGTTGCATATTTAATATCAGACATTATTAATACTCAGAGTCAATGTATACTACAAGCCCTTTGTTTATAATATGAAGGCTAAAAGCAGAGATGTAAGATAACATTAGCGAGTGGGTTTGGGTGATTTTGGAGCTGGATTTCTGGCTGATGGATGGTCACAGGTGGATGAAATCACTCTGGATTGTGAGGGCAGAGCCTGATGAGTGATCTGATGTGTGAATCATGTCACTGTTTGTTCTGATATGTGGATCATGTTTGTATCTTAAAACGTTCTGAAGTTATGAAGGCTAGAAGTGACCTATCGTTTTTGCAAATTGCTGTCTCCGGGTCCCTAAGGGCTAAACTACACAACGCATAATGCCCAGCAGGCCTTAACTTTCACCCCACATAGCCTCAGCCAAAAGCAGGCGGTCTGCTGAAGAGCTCCACAGACCCTCACCTAGCTGTAAAAAACTAGGTTTAGCAGGTTCTTAGCGCCCCCTACTGCTGACCTTGTGTTTTGTTGTAACCACATTATGGAATATGACGCTTTAAAGAGATTCCCAGTGGTATTGTCAGTGCAGTGGTGATGTGTGCATACATGACAGGTCTGAGTTTTTGAGGTGAAATGTCCTGAGGTGGCGGTACTGCACCAGAGGTGACGCCCAAGAGCAATGAAGTTCAAGGTACCAAAGCCTTTTAGATTTTGTGATTCAAGCTGAAGTTAGTTCTCATTAGTGGTTTTTATATGCTTGTGTCCAGTGTGTGAAATCCGCCTCTGGTATTTAGGGGGCCCATGTTGTCTGGTTGCTAACTCACTCACCACAGCGGCGCTGATGATTCAATGTCAGTAAATGTTTGTTTTATCAGTTCCTCTTCTGTAAAGTCTCTGTTCTAGTGTGGTTCTGCGCTCTTCCTCTCATTAACTGAGATCTTACTCGTCTCCTCTTCTGTCTTCAGTGTGAGGAATGAGGAGCAGTCACTCTTTACACCAAACTCTTGGGAAACTGGGCGGGTTTTCAGATTTACAGATACGCTGCAGCACTTTGAAAAGTTTTTCAGAGAAATCCGGGCAGAGTTACAGTTTCTAGGCTATGAAGGACCAACTGGGTGAACCGGTCTGCTACAGCGCCACCCTAAGGCAGAGCAGTGCTGCAGCTCTAGTTAGTTAGGAATATCAAAGACAGAAGCTGATTGTGGGTGAAGCAGGTAAACAATGAGCCTCACTGAATTCCTTGAACAGATAGGATAACATTGTAAGTTCATTTTCAAGGACCCCCCAGAATTTAGATTTTGAGACATTCAGTGGGTCCAAGAGGTTAATTAGGGCTCCTGGACACCCCAGGACCCCCTGTATTTTGCGGCCCTGCAGATCTGGCGTGATGATGCTGAGCACTTCAGTGAACGTCACAGAACGTATGTACAAAGTTTGTGAGACCAGAAGCCTCTGACTGGAGTACAGAGACTTAAAATGGGCAAATTATCACACTTATACAGTCTGAGGGAAAAAACAGGAGCTCTAGCCCCCCTTGCTGTCTACCTGTGCACAGAGAATCGGACATTAAAAACCCAAAGATTTGGTGTAAACATGTCAATAATAATATATATTCCACTGTAGTTTATTTACGGTGATCTGAAAGTGCTATTAATAGAATATAAAGTATAAAAATATCAGTGAGAATAACATCACGTCATCAACAGCAGCAGCTAAATATAAAACATGCAACACATACCAGCATACACATACACACAGTAATGTAGGCTTCATCAGCTCTATAGTACATTTTACTGAAGATAAAAACAACTGGTCATCATCTTCTTCGTCTTCTTTGTCATCATCTGTCCTTGCCACAGGTCAGAACTGCTTTCTTTCAAAACAAACCTGCACATGTATTCGTGCCTTTACTATTCAGCTTTGAGCTCCAGCCTTACTGATCACCTGCACACTGATGCAGTTTTTCTGACCATATCAAAATGCCCACTATGAACTGCTGTCAGCTTTCACCACCAGATGGCAGCAGATCTCCCAGCAGTGCAGCAGGAGATCTGTACTGAACACTCTACTGTCCAGCTGTGGTCACACTCAGCGTCTGTATCACACTGTCTTAGATAAATCCTTGTGATATGGATTAAATAATTTTTTAACACTTTCTATGAATACCACGTCTATAAGAACCTATGAACACTTTCATAACGTGCTATAATGCATTCACAAGGCTTCAGAAACATGGCTATAAACATTTATAAAAATGCATTGCACTTTATAGCTATGCTTATTATGCATTATGTATTGTTAATGCATTATAAGTAGTGTTAATAACCTGTTATAAGATCTTATCTGTAAACTGTATTTGTCAGCTGTCAGTACAGTGAGGCGTGTTTTACACTAATGTCTCCTCCTGTGTTCAAAGTAAGGCTTCAAACCAGAGGATTTACTGAAACACTTAAACACACAAAGTGAAGCTCATTAAAGCTTCAAATGTCAGAATTTTAACTAGGGCTCCATCAGTCATGTTTTACCAACATGGGAAAGTCAGAATTCACCACTGTTAGCTCAGCACTAATGTAGCACTGCATATCCAACAGGGTGCTAGCAGAAATTAGCATTACTGTAGTGCAGTGTAGCAATGTTACACAGTGAAGGTTCTAGTGGTTGATGTTAGAACCACATTACAGTGATAGCGCTCTGCAAACCTGCCTCTCTCTCTCCAGGCCTTCACTCCACAGTGATTTCATGCTCAGTGTATAGTAATAACTCTGGGCTGGACGGCTTGTTTGGAGCATCTGAATATTCAAGACTGAAGACCTAAAGCTGCAGATCTAACAGCACCAGCACTGAGAAATGGCTATGAAGTGTAAGTCATTTTTATAAATATTATAGCCATGTTTATAATGCCTTATGAATGCTTTATAACATGTTACAAATCTTTTTATAGATGCTCGTAGGCATGGAATTCATAGAAAGTGCTATCATTATTTCTCATAAAGATTACTGTATTTATTATACAGCTTAAATATACTAAACATGCATTATTCACCAAATTCAAGAGTATAAGTTTGTGTTCTGTAGGGTTCCAACCAATGATCATTTATACTGACAATAAATTGATCGACAATTATTAATCAACCTAATCTGACTGTTACATAGCATTATAAAGTACTATTTAAATGAACCATATCGCCCCCTACCTCTCTGTAGTGTATTACAGTCTGTCGAATGACTGTGTGGATCATATGAACATTATAGAGCACTTTTTAAATGAAACAATAGAAGCCATATCGCCCCCTACACTTCCTGTAGTGTATTACAGTCTGTCAGAATGACAGCATGATACCACAGGTCACTGAACCGCACCAAGATAAGCAGTTAGCAAACATTTGCTAGCTAAGGTTAGCTATGACCTAACATGACCATATACTATTATAACATTTGAAGTTGTTACTTGCATATTTAAAATGATGTCACATAGAAATTAATCCAATTTGGGACAAAGATATTTAATGGCTCAGCCCCTTTCATTGCACATGGCCGCCTGCACAATACATCCTGCCGCATTTCTCATTGTGATCTCTCACTAACTCGTCTGGTGTTTCTCAGTTTGAGACAGAGGGCTGTACTTTGTTTTTCTCCACCATCTATTTCCTCTTTTCCAGGAAGTTGGAGGGCACCCAGCCCCGGCGTGTGTTTGTGGAGTCAATGGTGCGGCAGTACCACCACCCATTGGTGTTCTTCTCCAGAACCTCCAGCCTCGTTCCTGCTGGGAACCCCATGGACTCTGCATCGCCATGGTAATTGGCCACGGAGACGTACTCCTCACGCAGGTTGTTGTGGATGATTTGTGGTTTGGGCTTCACCATGGACACAGGGATTGACCGTCCAGAGCTGGTTAGATCACGGCGGGTCTCATTCTTCCAGCGAGGGCCAGTATTCTCATTAGCAACACCATTTTTGTCCTTGGTAACACTGGCGTAGTCATTAGTAACACTAGCGTTATCCTTAATAATGGCAGTGCAGTCTTTAGTAACGCCAGCATTACTGTTTTCATCCTGGGGCCTCACTGTAACCCTGCTGGCCCCGCTGACCCCACTGACCCCTCTGTTGTTTGATCCGGTCACTTTCTGCCCACCCTCCTCGTTCTTCACACTGTTTGAGGTCTCTGAAACATAAGTATGTGTGATGGGCTTGAGGAAATAAGTGGGCACCCAGCCCTCTTGCGCCCCCCAGCGGACAAACCACCAGCCGCTCTGCTGCTTCTCTAGCACCTCCACCAGCACCCCAGCTGGCAGGCTCAGCTCGCCCGGTGCCCCCTGCTGGAACTCTGCAGTAGTACGATACAGCTGGAGGGCTGCAACCTCAGCCTGGTTGCTGACAGATGGACGGGGGGGCGTGACCTCTGTCTTTGCACTGACAGACATCCGAGGAGGCATGACCTCACCCTCTGTGCTGATGGACATCCAGGGAGGCGTGACCTCAGCTTCTGCACTGACTGACAGCTTGAAGGTCAAAGAGTCATCCAGTGAGGAGGCGGAGTCGGTCTCGGACCCTGCTGAGGTTTGCGAGGTTCTCCATTGATTGTGGTTCTGCTGGTTTGTAGGTTTCAGGCTTTGTCTGAGGGAGCTGAAGTCCGGGTTTGAGGGTTTGGGCCGCACGCTTGGCTTGGGTTTGGACCCTTCCTCCGGTTCTTGAGATATGGACAAGGCATTGAACTCGATTGTAGGGGCGTCATATTCAGGAGGATCCCAGATTGGCCTCTGGCGCCCCCTGCTGGATGAGTGTGAATGTGAGTGTCTCGTTTCCAGGCTCTCTGTGATTCCAGCTGTGACTCCATCGTACACACACTGCTCTTCTCCAGTCTGCTCCTGCATGTCCTCTCCCAGCCAGTAGGGGGCACTGCGTGGAGCTTTAACATCTGAGGGGAGGAACTCGAGCTGAGGTTCCAAACTCACTGCCGGAACGTCGTACTCGGGTTCTTCATACACTCGGCTCTTATCAAGGGTTGTGACCTCTGACTCCATGCAGGGCAGTGAGGTCTGCTTTTTGATTGGTGGGGCCGGGGGTGGGACTTTGGGTCGTGTGAGAGTGCTGGTCTTCCGGTTTAGGCTTGGCTTCTTACGCTTGTCGATGTATGAGCATGGAGCCCAGCCTTCTTTATCCCCAATCTGCACATACCACCAACCTCCTGAGTTCTTCTTGATGACCTACACAAACATACACACATTCATTAACCATGGAATGCTCAATATCTTTGGCCAATTTATCAGAAACCCCTTCATCGTAATTCCACATTGCTGGTGTACAGTTTTACAGGGGAAAGTTTATTGACTTTTCTAAATTTAGCATAATTGAGTGTGTGAGATGTAAACAGAGTCACTCAGAGTGGTTTGGTGTGAAATGGTTCAGATTTCCGTACAGTGGTGGTGATAGGAACCAGGGGTCGCCATGACTGCAACACAAATATAGACATTTTATTTACTATCCAAAACCACCAGTGAACCTCCACATGTCTTCAGAGTTTTATATGGCATGTTGATGATGGGAAAAGAGTGGAAAATCTGAAATCTTTTTTTTCTTTGCCCTGCATGTATCTGCCCATCATAAATTAGTTTTTTTTAAAAATATGCTTTCGGCCAAAATATTCTCAAAACAAATGGAAACAAAACAATGTCTCAGACATCAGGCAGCGTATTCTTGATGGATGTACAGGTAGGTGGGATGTCTGCTAGACATTACAGCCTGTCGCATCTCTGATTGTGCTGTCAGGCAAGCTGCAAGCTCGTCAGCCAGGAGCCACCCCCCGCTGATGTTTTGCTCCATTAGTCCTGGTGGCAGAAACGTCACCCCCTGCAGCTGACCCTAGCTGCTTCCCATCACCACCGTTGTGAACAATTCTGACTCAGTAAGTTTCTGTAGAACAGAGTAACACCAAACCACTCTGAACGACTCTATTTACATCTTAACCAGTTAAATATGCAGGAATTTAGAAAAATCAGTGAACTTCTTCTCGAAGTGATAAAGTTATACACTCATAATGAAAATGTCATACCTAAACTACACACATGGCCATGACAGGGTCACTGCTTTGCTAGGAATGGAGCATAACCCAAATAATATATGGACATCAGTGTCCAGGTGTGTACAGGTGTGACGGTGTATTTGTACAGATGTGATAGTGTGAGAGTGCAAATGTGACAGTATACATATGATGGTACAGGTATGATGGTGAAATGGCACAGATGTGTAATTGTACACTGCAAGTATGAAGGTGTAGAAAAGATGGGACAGGTGTGGTAGAACAGATGTGATGATGTGATGATACGGGTGTGATAGTGTAATGGTACAGGTGTGATGATATGATGGTGGTTGCATAGGTGTGATGGTACAGGTGTCACAGTGTGATGTTGCAGGTCTATTAGTACAGGTGTAATAGTGTGCTGGTGTGAGAGTACAGGTATGACAGTACAGGTGTGACAGTGTGGTGGTGTAATGGTACATGTGTGATAGTGTGATGTTAAAGATGTGGTGGTGTGATGGTACAGGTGTGACAGTGTGGTGGTGTGATGGTACAGGTGTGATAGTGTGATGTTAAAGATGTGGTAGTGTGATGGTACAGGTGTGATATTGTGATGGTGTGATGGTACAGGTGTGATACTGTGATAGTGTTGTTGTACAGGTGTCACAATGTGATGTTGCAGGTATGATAGTACGGGTGTGACAGTGTGGTGGTGTGATGGTACAGGTATGATAGTACAGGTGTGACAGTGTGGTCTGGTGTGATGGTACAGGTGTGATAGTGTGATGGTGTGATGGTACAGGCATGATAGTACAGGTGTGACAGTGTGGTGTGATGGTACAGGTGTGATAGTACAGGTGTGATAGTGTGATGGTGTGATGGTACAGGTGTGACAGTGTGGTGGTGTGATGGTACAGGTGTGATAGTGTGATGTTAAAGATGTGGTAGTGTGATGGTACAGGTGTGATATTGTGATGAGGTGATGGTACAGGTGTGATACTGTGATGGTGTTGTTGTACAGGTGTCACAATGTGATGTTGCAGGTATGATAGTACGGGATAGTGTGATGGTGTGATGGTACAGGCATGATAGTACAGGTGTGACAGTGTGGTGTGATGGTACAGGTGTGATAGTACAGGTGTGATAGTGTGATGGTGTGATGGTACAGGTATGATGGTACAGGTGTGACAGTGTGGTGGTGTGATGGTACAGGTGTGATAGTGTGATGTTAAAGATGTGGTAGTGTGATGGTACAGGTGTGATATTGTGATGGTGTGATGGTACAGGTGTGATACTGTGATGGTGTTGTTGTACAGGTGTCACAATGTGATGTTGCAGGTATGATAGTACGGGATAGTGTGATGGTGTGATGGTACAGGTATGATGGTACAGGCGTGACAGTGTGGTGGTGTGATGGTACAGTTGTGATAGTGTGATGGTAAAGATGTGGTGGTGTGATGGTACATATGTGATAGTGTGATGGTGTGATTGTACAGGTGTGATACTGTGATGGTGTGATGGTACAGGTGTGATAGTGTGATGGTTAAGGTATGATGGCACAGGTGTGATGGTACAGGTGAGATACTGTGCTGGTGTGATGGTACACATGTGAGTGTGATGGTACAAGTATGATGCACAAGTGTGATGGTACAGGTGTTCTACCTCTGCTCTCTCTCCTCCACTGAAGCTGATGCCGTCACCCAGACAGGAGTGGAACTCAGCGATGGTGTAATACTCTGCATCAACACTAGGGGGATCTGGAGGCTGCGGCAGCTGAAAGCCCTAAAGAAACACAGACCCACTTCAACACAACCACTAAAAATCGAACTCGGGTATTAACCAAAGACCCAATCAGAACCTTTCACTCAGACAGGTGAAATTCTGAACAGAGCTGAACTGAACTGGACTTAATTGAACTGAAAGGAATGGACCTGAATTGACCTGAATTAACCTGAAATGAATTCAATTAAACTGGACCAAACTGAACTTTAATTTCGCCTTTAATTTTAATGTCTGCATATTTCAACACATTCAAAAATCAAATACTACTGGATTAGCTCTACTGCTTTCAGCTACACTGCTGTAGAGGACTCGTCACATACGACAGTACTGAATAAATTGAACTAAACTGGATTAAAATGTGCTGAACTGATGTGAACTGACCAGACTGTTTTCTCGGCGGGGGGCAGGTTTCTCTCTGTAAGATGGAGATCCTGAAAGAGAAGATTAACATCATCATCATAATCATCATCATCATCATCATGAGAGAGAGTAAAGTGGATGGAGTGAGAGCTCAGGTGTGAGTGATCTCACCATTCTCCACGCTGTGGTATCTCTGAGGGGTGACGCGGGCGACGGCGGGGGTGTGTGTCCTCTGTACGGTGGAACACACACTCAACTCTGAAAAAGACACACACACGCTCACATCCGAGGCTGCCACACATGCTCCGGATGAGTCTGTCACCATCATTTCCGCACTGGTGGAATGTGTGTGTGTATCTGAGCTGGAGTCAGTGTGCGAGTGTGAGTGTGTGTGCGTGCCTGTGAGCTCCACTCCGGCTGTGATGTCATCAGCATGTGTGTAACTGTCTGTGTAACTGTCAGTGTGTGTGTTGTCTGCAGTAGTGTGTGTGCTACTCGCAGTGTCAGATTTTACGCTGAAGTGTGAGTCGCTGTCCGTGTCGCGCTCCGAGTGTGTGTACGTGTCGCTTGCGTTGCTGTGAGTGTGTGTGTCGCTGTTGGCTGGCTTCCTGTTCAGCAGGTTGCTGATCTCCATCAGGTTTCCAATGATCTCCACTTGGCCAATGGTGGACTCTCGGCTGGATTCCGTGGAGACGGTGTGGTCGGTGGGGGGGCAGTCGTCCTGCACCTTCCTCAGGTAGGAAGCAGGAGCCCAACCTTCCTTCCCCTCGTACCTGAGAGACGGAGGTAGGAAACACTTTATCCCTGTGGAGCTGGATTAGTTCTAGCAGAGGACGTTCAGTAACATAATCTATAATCTGAGAGTGATTTGACTGGCTTGTTCGTACAAATGGTTCTATATAGAATCATGAACATTCAAATGACCTTTGCATAATTAATGCATTCTCTGTATGGTGAAATGGCTTTTCAGATTGATGGAGAATATGTTGTATATGGTTCTACATAGCACCAAATGGGTTCTTCTATTGTTACAAGCATTTTCAAAAAGGTTCTATGTAGAACCACCTACAGCACATTTTCCATCAATCTGAAGAACAATTTCATGATGCAAAGGACGCTTTAACTAATGTAAAGGCATTTTTGAGTGTTCATGGTTCTATGTAGACCCTTTTTCATTACTGAAGAACACTTGAAGAACCATTTTTTAATGGTTGAGTGTACAGGATAAAGGATCTCTGTAATTTCCCCAAATTACCCAAAATAGCCCGGATCCAAACATCATTGCTTGGACGTTCACGTCAGAATCATGTGACAGGCGTCACTACTACGAACAATAACAACATGCTGTGCAGCTAAATAAATGGCAAATATGGAGCCCTAGGCCATCACACTGGGTTGCCATATTTGTGGTTTTCTCTGCAAATCTGGCTGTTTGAAAGTGCAGTATGGGTGGGAATTAAACAGTTATGGGGTTTGTTTTTGACTGTAGATGAAAATGAAAAAGAATCATCTTATGAATATTGGTTCTAATGTTTAACAGCTGGCAACCCAAAGACACACAGGCACGAACAGTAAGAGAAGCGGGAGAACAGTGTGGCTGGTTTGGTGGTGACGCTGACTGCTCTAAACCTTTCACACTCTGTTTCAGGCATTTACAGTTGGAGACATTTTCAATTTCAGCTTCTGGTGAGTTTTAATGAGGCCTACATTCAGCCATAATTAGGCCCACTTACAGCTCACACTCATGGGTCATTCACACACTCAGCAGTGCTGCTGAACAGAGACCTACAGATCTCCTTTAACCAGACAGACAAACGCTCAAATCAGTCACTCTGCTTAATCAAAATAGAATTCATAAAAGAGTAGGTACAGCATTCTGTCTTGTGATTAGCCAGTGGTTTAAAGCCCGCTGGGCCATCCGGGAAATCGGTCTGCAGGACAGAATGTTTAAGTAGTTTTTTTGCATGTTAACGATCATGAATGAAGGAACTTGTGTTTTTAAAAGTTTTATTAAATATTCTGCTATTTTTTATTCATTCTTATAAATGAGCGCAGTGACTTTAAATATGGCACTGTCATAGGATGCCACCTCTGCCACAAGTCAGTTTGTGAAATTTCTGCCCAGCTAGATCTGCCCCTGTCAACAGCAGCAACAACAGCTCAGCCACAAAGCAGTAGAACATGCACACTCACAGAACGTGTTCACCATGTAGTGCTCATAAATCACCCCTCCACTGTTGCATCATTTACTACAGAGTTCCAAACTGCCTCTGGAAGCAACATCAGCACAAGAACTGCACTTTAGGAGCTTCATGAAATGGGTTTCTAAGGCCAAGAAGCTGCACACAAGCCTAAGATCACTATGTGCAATGCCAAGCGTCAGCTGGAGTGGTGTAAAACAGGCCACCACTGGACTCTGGAGCAGAGAAAACATGTTCTCTGGAGTGATGAATCACGATTCTCTCTTCTGGCAGTCGGATGGATGAATCTGGGTTTGGTGGCTGCCAGAAGAACGTTACCTACCGGAATGCATAGTGCCAACAATAAAGTTTGGTGGATGAGGAATAATGGGCTGGGGCTCTTTTCAGGGTTTGGGGCCCTTAGTTCCAGTGAAGGGTGATGTTAATGCTATCTTATAGAAAGCCTCCCAGTAAAGTGGAGGCTGTTATAGTCGCAAAGGGGTGCAACTCCATATTAATGGCCATGGTTTTGTAATGGGACTTCCAACAAGCTCAAAATAGCCTGTTTGCTATCTGAAGTTTGCTTTTTTAGTTTTGCACTGGAGCTACGAGGCTAATGTAGCTAACAGGTAATGGAAATTTATATCTCATTGATTAGCATGGTGCTAACTGTGTGTCTCAGACTGTGTGGAGATGTTTAGTATCTCTCACAGACCTGATCATGTGGTTTCTGACACTGTATGCATCACTGTTATCTAGAGGAAAGCTTTTTGATGGATGTTGGATGAGAGATGGAGGAATGAGTGTGATTACCGTATGAACCACCAGCCCTCCAGGTTCTTCTGGACAACCTCTACTCTGACCCCACACTCAAAACCCAACTCATCTTGACCTGGACTGCTGTAGGCCTGGACTGTAACATAGTGACCTGCATTGCAAGAGAAATGATATAGTAATTAAAGAATTAGAGGATGTGGATCTGCAAGTGTTTGTGATAAAACTTTAATTGTTATTTCAGCTCATTTAATTTGAATGGACACCCAGTGACTATATCAGGCAGGTGCCTTGGAGTGTGTTCAGGTGAGTTTGGGTGTATTTGGGTGAGTTCAGGAGTGTTCTGGTGAGTTCAAGTAGACATCGGGTGTGTTTATGTGCTTTTGTGGGAATTCAGGTGAGTTTGGAGGAAATCAGAAGAGTTGGTTTGAGTTCAGGAGGGTTCTTTAAGGATGGTTGTTTAAGGGTTCTTTAGTAAAGGCAGTCGTTCTATGTAGAACCATGAACACTCAAAGAACCATGGTTCTCTGCATGGTGAAACGGTCCTTCAGATTGATGGACAGTGTGTTGTATATGGTTTTATATAGAACCTTCTTTTTTAAGAGTGTGGTTCAGGTGTGTTCATGGGAGTTTGAGGAAATGCAGTGTTTGGGTGAGTTCAGGAGTGTTCAGGTGTGTTTGATTGTGTTTTTAGGTGTGATCAGCATGATAATCAAAACTATTTACAGGACTTGCTTTTATTCTGACAGAGTGTCATCTGCCACTCTGAACATCCTGCAGGATTCTGTGCCTCACTGCGGTACATAACCTACATTGGCATGCAGCTATGCTAACGTTGCTGTAGTGACAGCATTACTGGTGAAAATGGATGACTATCAGAGAGCTTTAGCAGTGCAGATTGTTTATATAAGGTGAAAAACATTAAGACGAGGCTCTGAACTCTTTTTACTGTTTGTATATCACTGAGACTGCTGAAAATTTATAACATAACATTCAGCGTTTATGATTTCCAAAAGAATGTCCAGTTTATTCCACCGCCACAGTTAACTGCAAAAGCTGAGATAATTGAACTCTCAGCTGACCGCTGCAGTTTGCTGACATCGCTGCTGGGGGAGGCAGAATTTTCCATCGCCACTCCACTCAGGGAGACGGTACATACAGTGTGCCGTCCACCGCCATAATATTAACACAGCAGACGTCCAGCAGGAGAGAGAATGGCGTCATGACATCTGGCAGCCCACAGTTTATATTGCTGTGATGAGGATCTACAGAATGAGCTTTAATGTGAATGAGAAAATCATGTGGAAGATATAAGTAATATTTCAGAACTCGTGATCTGGTTTAGAGAGCAACACCAACCAAAAACTCACCACAAAAGTATTCCACACGGTCAGCAAAACTCTCTTTCCCTCTTTCTCCGCAAACTCATTTTATCTCTCTCTCTCTCTGTTCATTGTCTCTCTCTATCTCTCTCACTCTTTCTACCTAAGCACAATCCAGCTCTCTCTCTTTTTATGAGTTGAACACAGTTTTATAACTTTTCTGGCATGAAAGCTGGAAAAATCAGAAATTTCTGCCTGAAACACAAAAACAGTAAAACAGCTGCCAAACAGCCCAACACTCTAAGTGCCTGGAGTGTGTGTGTGTTTGTGTGTGTGTGTGTGTGTGTGTGTGTGTGTGTGTGTGTGTGTGTGTACCTTGCTGAGGCAGCACTAACTTCACTCCTTGAATACAGTTAATTATTCAGCTGGTTAGGCGGTAGATTATTTAGCTGGTAAGGCTGTTGATTATTTAGCTGGTTAGGCTGTTGATTATTCAGCTGGTTAGGTGGTTGATTATTCACCTGGTTAGGCAGTTGATTATTCAGCTGGTTAGGTGGTTGATTATTCAGCTGGTTGGGCAATTGATTTTTCAGCTGGTTAGGCAGTTGATAATTCAGCTGGTAAAGCAGATGATTATTTAGCTGGTAACACAATTGATTATTCAGCTATTTAACCGGTCGATTTTTCTACTAGTTAGATTATTCAGCTGGTTAGGCTGTTGGTTATTCTACTGGTTAGGTGGTTGTCTGTTGAGCAAGTTAGGTGACTCTTTAATGAGCCAGTTAGGTAGTTGATATGCAGTTTGTTACTGACATCTGGTGATCCTTACTATCTCCTTTTGGTGTTCTGTGATCATTTCGCTGTTCTGCTGGAGAGACGAGGTAAGTGGATGGAAACCAGCCTTGTTCCTCTGCCGTACTCACAAACCACCAACCTACAGCACAGAAAAAGTAAGAAACCCATATTAAATTAATCTTTCAGCAAGCAAAACATTTTGCTTCTCTGGTCCTCTTTGGCACTGAAGCTTCAAATCAAACATAGTAAACAAGTACTGGAAGCTCATTCTTCACCGGTTAGCATGGTGCTAACTCCTAACTCATCACACATTCTAATAGACTTGATTATATGGTTTCTTATGCTGTATGATACACTGGAACTAAAGCACAGTGCAGTGTGTTTACAGATAACAGTGTGTCAGAAACCATTACACACACAGTAAGGGCATAAGATGCCCTGCACAGAGCATGATGCTATAAAAGTGCTGATGTCACACTCATTACCCAGCATGCACCACACTGAAAATCAGCATCACACGATAAACACAGAAGGAGGTTTACACAAAGAGAGAGAGAGAGAGGTGAATAGTTGGAGGTTATAATGACTCTCAGATTCCTCTACTGATGACTTAACCATCTGCCTGACTATCCCACTCTCCTCTCCACTAGACAATAAAGATCTATTCTATTCTATTAGATTCTATTCTATTCTATTCTATAAGCCCATTTCCAAAAAAGTTGGGACGCTTTGCAAAATGTAAATAAAAACAAAATGCAATGATATGCAAATCATTTAAACCCTATATTTCATTGAAAATAGTACAAAGCCAACATATCAAATGCTGAAACTGAGAATAAATATATGTCCATTTTGAATTTGATGCCCACAGCATGTTCCAAAAAAGTTGGGACGGGGGCAACAAAAGGTGTGTAATGCTAAAAAACACCTGGTGGGTAATTGGCAACACGTCAGTAAAATGATATATAAAAAAGCATCCCTGAGAGTCTTTCTGAAGTAAAGATGGGGAGGGGTTCACCACTCTGTGAAAGACTGCATGATCAAATAGTGCAACAATTCAAGAATAACAGTGCTCAATGTAAAATAGCAAAGAACTTTTGCTTTTTATCATCTATGATACATAATACCACTAAAAGATTCAGAGAATCTGGAGAAATCTCTGTATGCAAGTGACAAGACCAAAAAACAGTATTTGCTGGCCATGATCTTTGAGCCCTCAGGCAGCACTGCATTCTGTAGTGGAAATCACTGCATGGGCTCAGGAACACTTCTGAAAACCACTGTCTGTGAAAACAGTTAGTCGCTGCATCCACAAATGCAAGTGAAAACTCTAAAAGGCAAAGAAGAAACCATATATAAACAGGATCCAGCACATCTGTGAAGGCACCATTAATGCTGAACGATATATACAGATTTTGGCAACATATGGTGCCATCCAGACGACATCATTTTCAGGGAAGGCCTTGATTATTTCAGCAAGGAAATGCCAAACCACATTCTGCATGTATTACAACAGCATGGCTCTGTAGTAAAAGAGTCTGGGTACTAAACTGGCCTTCCAGCAGTCCAGATATGTCACCCACTGAAAACATTTGGCACATTATGAAATGGTAAATACGACAAATACGAATTCAAAATGGGCATATATTTTTCAAAAAACAATACATTTTCTCAGTTTCAAAATTTGATATGTTGTCTTTGTAGAATTTTCCTTTAAAAATATTGTTTACATAATTTGCATATCATTGCATCCTATTCTTATTTACATTCTGCACAGCATCACAACTTTTTTGTAAATGGGGTTATACATCCCAGCATTTTTTACACATGTTTGATGACGTAACTGAGGAGGAATTTACAACTTTTTACAACTCTCTCCCTCTCTCTCTCATTTTTCCATGGCTGTGTCTCTGGCGTTTCTGTGTTTTGGACTCAGCAGTTGAAAAAACTCATAAATCTGCTAAAGCAAGATGAACAGAAAATCTCCTGCTTATGTAATCTGCTCTCCACAGAGGCCCAGAGAGCCCAAATCACTGCACACTTTCCTCTCACTGAGGGCTACTGAAGGTTAACAGAGGGTTACTGAGGGCCACTGAGGTTAATGCAGGGCCACTGAAGATCATTTGGGGCTACTGAGGGTTACTAAGGGTCACTAGATAATTCTGAGGGCCACTGAGAGTTACTGAGGGCCACTAGGTTTATGTAGGGCCACTGAGGATCATTGATGGCCAATGAACAGTATTGAGGGTCACTGAGTGTTATTGAGGGCCACTGATAGTTATTAACACCACTGATGGTGACTATAGGCTACGGCTTTTTGAGGACCACTAAGGGTTTTGAGGGCCACTGATGGTTACTGAGAGTCAGTAAGGGCCATTAAAGATTACTGAGGGCCACTAGAGGTTACTGAAAACCAGTGGGGGCCACTGAGGGTTATTGAGGGCCCCTCATGGCCACTGATAGATACTGAGAGACACTTGGATGATTGAGAGCAACTGGGGATTATTGAGGGCCCCTAAGGACCACTGAAGGTTATTGAGGGCCACTGAGGGATTCTGAAGTTGTAAATTACATTGTTGCTGTCTATAATAATGCCATGATGTAACAATGTAGTGACTTATTAAGTCAAGCCAATGCAAAAACTACAGTGTAGATGTTTGTGTTACATTCTTAGATATTAGAGCAGACAAACATACCTTTATTACCTGAGTGTTGAACAAGGCAGGTGTTTCTAATAAAGTGGCCAGTTAGTGGAAGTACAAGGTAGGTGTTTCTAATAAAGTGACCAGTAAGTGGAGGTACAAGATGGGTGTTTCTGGTGAGGTGTACGAGAGGGGGTGGGGGGTGCTGGTGCTCACCTGTGTCGTTTTTCTCGATCACCTCCACTCTCTCTCCGGCTCGGAGACTGATCTCGGTGTTCTCCTGACGCTGATAATCTGCTGCCACCACAAACACACAGACAAACTCCTCTCCGCTCATGGCCTCCCGGCTCTCTGCCCCTGAGGATGTTGGGAAAAAACAGGCTGTGAACCAGCTGCCCCCCCGCCCGCGACCCCCCGAACCGCGCTGGGCCATCTGCTGAAGCTAATACAGCCTCGGCCAATCGGCACACAGCATCAGGTCAATCCATTCCTTACAGATGTCTTGATCCCAAAGGTCCAATCACAGGCAGTCTTTTGGAGATACAGTCAGTATGAGCCAAAAGGTCCAATCACAGTGCCTTCAGGTAAGATCATTACAGCCAAAACAAACCGGTCAAGAGGAAAAAGTTTAGAGGACAGAGATCCAACTACAGCAACACAAAGACTTTAGATCCTTTAAGTCCAATCAGCAGACTCCTCAGAGAGATAAAAGGGCTTTCTGTGTCACATCCAGAAAGAGCACAGAGTATAAAAACACAGGGACCTCTTGCAAAGCTGCAAGAGCGACAGATAAAGGAATGAAAGTATGGAGCGAAGGAGCGCTGCAGGAAGAGAAAGAAAGCATGCCAGAGAGAGAAAGAGGTAAAGAAAAAGAGAGAGAGAGAGTCAAGCAGATGCAAGCAGAAACTTTCTTCTCTGGAAAATAAACGAAATGGTAAAAGTCAAGGGGGGTGGGCAGAGAGACAGAGAGAGAGAGAGAGCAGCTGCCAATCAAACCTGACTCCGCCCCTGTAACTAGACCTAAATAAAAACATATGTGCTCCATGAAAATGAAATGCACACACAGCACTCTCTCTCTCTCTCTCTCTCTCTCTCTCTTCCTCTCTTCCTCTCTCAATCATTTTCTTCTCTTGTCTCTCTTTGCTCTTTTCCGCATTCTCATATTCTTTCTCATTCTTTTCTCTCTTTTTTCTCTTCTCTCTCTCTCTACCCTGTCCTCCCCCTCTTTTTCCACTCGTTCTCTCACACCCACTTTTTTCTCTCTTTCTCCATCTTTTTCCACTATCTCTTTCTCCCTTTTTTCTCTCTGTCTTTCTCCCTCTTTTCTCTCTCTCTTTCTTTCCCCTCATCATACTGAACCCATTTCCTCTCTGCCACGTCAGCACCCCCAAACAGACCGACTGCACACAGAGCTTCACTGTTCCCCTCTTAAACCCTTAAACTCAGGATCATTATTCAGTTAAAACAGTATCTGCTATAAAACTATTATGTAAACTTGGTTATCTGGAATTAAAAGTGCTAGTTTGGTCAAAAGGTCCCCCCCAGTAACCACCCCCTACCCCAACCGTAGTTGATCCAAAACGTGTTTGGTGTCTGAGGTTTGCTTCTTTAGTTTTAGCACTGGAGCTACAAGGCTAATGTAGCTAATAAGCAACGGAAGTTAATATCCACCAACACTACAAAGCTTATATCCTGTAGATATCAGTGAGTCATACAGTGTCAGAAATTACCTAATCAAGTCTATTAGAAATACTGAACACCTCCCCACCCCTGATAGCAAGAGGATAATGGACCACTGTTGGCCCACAGATGGCAAAGCTGGTGGTCCACTGGCGTTTTGCTCAGCGTTTTCCGTGCGGCAGTAGAGTATTAGACAAAATTCTACTTTTCATGGCTCGTTTTCCATTTACAGTACAATTTACTTATTTTTCCTTCTTTCCTTTCTTAAGTTATACTTTGTAAATTAGTTTAGTAAATAATTTTAATCCAGCTCAGTGTCAACAACAACATTTTCTATAAAATCATTTTATATTAGACGGGGTGATTAATTTTTTTTCTTTCAGTTGTTGGTAATATTTGTCTTAGTTTATTTTATAAATACAAGACTATGTGCATTTAAAATCTGTTTGTATGCAGGACAGTAATGGTGGACCAGCAGTGGCAAACAATCAGTGGGGTACCAAGCCAGTGGACCAAAATATGCTCGCTATTTGGGACACTCTGAAACATGCAGTTAGCACCATGCTAATTGTTGGGGTATATGACAAATCAGCGCTGCACTGATACAACAGGATTGTGTACCAATGATGATACTGATTTCAGAATTATTTAACTAAAGTATTGGAGAAAGCAGAACTTTTTCAGTGATCTTATGATGAAACATTTAAACACTGAATTAGTGAGCAGCTCTACATATTCATTATTAAACACTGGTTAATGATATGCTCCTATTGTTGGCATTGTTGGTATTGATAAACCTGTGAGCTGCTCTGGTGCTGTTAAATTCTATTTAAACTCTGAGAACTTCACCCTTAACTTGGGTTCATTTTGTCCTTTAATCAGTAGCACCAGCCATTCATTTACAGGGTTTAATAAAAACATCATTTTATAAGCAGGCTTCATTTTATCTGCTATGATAATGCTAACAGCTGTTACATTAGCGGCAAGCTAACACTGCATTCACTGGGTTTCAGATCACTTTTAGCAACTCTATCAGCTGGAAAACGGGAAAAATGGAAAGCTGAAGCAGCGTGTTGCTGGGTATCCGCGTTAGCTGGTCTGAGAGTTGAGGCTAGCTGCTCTGAGGTGATACCCAGTCACTTTAGCACACTTTTCACTGCAGCTAAATCACAATGAAGCATGGTGGCAAAACAGCCACATTTATTAGCAGTTTCAAATTAAACTTAACATAAAATAAGTAGAATTGAGCCGTGAGGTGGATGAAGCAGAAAACAATAAGTTTTTTTTTTTACAGACCTTTTCATTCTCTCTCTCTCTCTCTCTCTCTCTCTCTCTCTAATTATATATCTCTATCTATCTCTCTCTAGCTATCTATCTATCTCTCTGACAGCACTAACAGGGCACCTTCATACTTCCTTAAGCCTCTCGACTCCATTTCCCCCAAAAAACATTTGACATTACTAACACAACACTATTTTGCATTATTGATCATTTTTTGGTTCAGTCTGTTCTGCTTGGGTTTGTCGCGACTTAAAACAAATTGCTTCTGCCATTGACTGGATGCTTTATCCACACAGACATAGAGCCAACGCTCATGTTTACAAACATTCAGATTTAGTCTATAAGATTTCATTACTTGTGACACTGCAAAAAAATGGTATCTTGTCAAGTAAATTTATCTTCAAAATAGTCAATGAATTTAATATTTCTCCTGTTAGGATTGTTGTAAGCTTAATTTAATAGTATTTACTTTATTTCTAGACATTTTTTACTTGTTTAAGTAATTTTATTAAGTAAAATTATCTCACAATATTGGCAGATAATTTTGCTTGTTGTTAGAAATGTGCTTGAAACCAGCAAAATTATCTGCCAGTATAGTGAGATCATTTCACTAGATAAAATTACCTAAAATAAGGAAAAAATATCTAGAAATAAGATAAATAATCTTATAATAAGTCTACAACATTCTCAAAATGGGGAATATTAAATATATACGCTAAATTTAAGATCATTTCACTTGACAAGAGACCATTTTTGCAGTGTAGCTACATTAGCCTCATAGCTGCAGTGCTAAAACTAAAAGTGTCTTGGTTGATAGTATAAAAACCTGCTGGTTTTGCTTTCTAATGGGAATTGACCCCTAGTTCCCTGTAGAACACCTTTAGATCCCAATAGGAAACCATCAAATACATTTAGAATCAGCCACTGGTCTCCTGTTAAACCATTAGGATCGTTTACACTGTGATATCAACCCATTAAAAAGCCCAAACCATTACAAAACCATCAGGAACCAACAGAAACACTTAGTGGATTTCTTCGGCAGGGTTGTTTAGCGGATGGGGGTGGGTGGGGTGAACTATCTCTCTACAGAGTTGACCCTTCCTTCAGCTCCCTTCCCTCAGCACCTTCAGCTAATCAGAAACAGTCCACATATTTACTTTACTGTGAGTGTTGGGGGGATGTGTGGAGCAGGACTTGCTGAGTGTGGAGAACATGCAGAGATCTCCTGCAGCTTTACAGGGAGCCTCCTACAGCAGTAAAACGGAGGGGCGTTTGGGGGTGGTGGTGGTTTGTTGTGTGTAAATGTTTTCCAGGCTGATGTACAGAGGCTGCAGTGATATATACAGTGTGAAGTATAAAGTAGGTCAGTGGAACTTCAGAGTGCTCAAATCTTTCTCTTTGTTGATGAAAGTCCGTCCACTGTGGAGGAGAAAATCAGACTAAGATGTTTCTGTAATACAGTCCTGGATCATTTATTCTTGGCCTGTGATCCAGGTGACAAAATCAAAGCAAATCTTCTTTATTATTTTATTGCTCACCTGCTGTTATTATCAGCAGCTCACGCTGCAAGAACGATAACAGAATCTGTAAAGAGTCAGATGTTAAAAGAGCAGTTTATGTGGACAGTACAGCGCTGGTCAGCACTGAGAAAAGCGTAATTTGTTGTTGAATTCTCTCATTGAGAATGAGTTCCCATGAGCAGTGAACTGATGCAGCATTCACTTAGAAGTTGACCTGAATTCTGCAGACCTAAATACGGGTGGAGTGTTCACACGTTAAAGCAGACCACACTAAAGAAAAAACACTTGGACTCTATTCCACACAGTGACGTCCAGATGTTCTCCTGTCACTGTTCTAGATGGCCTGTCTGACAAACACAGCCTTCCACAACTCGCACATCCACAGTCCAGCTGTGTTTTACCAGGAAAATAAAGTAAAATGTCTAAATTGTAATGAAAAATTGGCTCACAGTCAAACATCACTGCAGTGCCAGAACATCTGCACACCTTTAGGAGTCGTCTGAGAGTCATTCAGCAGGTTTAATATAAATATCAGCTGTAATCGATTCTACACACTTAAAAAATGGTTCTTCAAGGGTTCTTTAGTAAAGAAATGGTTCTGTATAGAATCATGAACACTCAAAAAACACTTTGCATGATTAAAGGGTTGTTCAGACTGATTGAGAATGTGTTGTATATGGTTCTATATAGAACCTTTTTGAAAAGGATTCCATATAGCACCCAAAAGGGTTCTTCTATTGTATGCAAACTTGACATCATCACAATAGTAGAACCCTTTTTGGTGCTATATAAGACCATATATAACATATTATCTATCCGTCTGAAGAACATTTCACCATGCAGAGAACCATTTAATCATGCAAAGGGTTCTACATAGAACCATTTTCTCTACAAAAGAACCCTTGAAGAACCATATTTTTTAAGAGCATAGAACTTTGTAGAAGTGGGTAGGAGTGTTTTGCTCTAATGTTTCACTGTTTTTATTATGTAAAACGGTGAAATGACATCTTTACATAATTAATCAGTACATTATTAATTAGTTAATGATATGCTTACATTATTAAGTAATAATGTTACATTATTAACCATATTAATATTATTGTTCAAACTAAATACTATATATTATAGAGCTGGAAAAGACAGATTTGAACCCTTTTAGCCTCAAACTCTGTTTGTAGGCGCTACAGTAACCACCAGGTGCTGCTAATGTGCAGAACAGTTTAACTAGTAAATACTTTTAGATGCGGTTTAAAGAAGAGAGACTGAAAAAGAGAGCAGTGTGTGTGTGTGTGTGTGTGTGTGTGTGTGTGTGTGTGTGTTTCTTACCTGGTGCATGTTTAGTGGGGCTCCTGCAGAAACACAAACACACACAGTCATTACACCATCACACACTGCCATCTAGTGGTAAAACACAGACATCAGAAATATGCAGTGACATAATAATCATTATTATGTTATAATATTGTGATTATAATATTGTGTTGTCATTTGGTCTCACTGTGTCTGAGGCTCGAGCAGGTCTTCAGGTTTGGGCTCAAAGAACTTCAGCACCTCCTCACTCTGAGAGATATGAGGAGGCAACCTCAACAGAGCCTGAGAGAGAGAGAGAGAGAGATAGAGGGAGAGATGGAGAGAGATGGAGAGAGAGAGTTTGTAGAAACAGATGAGAGATGATTATTAGATTACATTAATATTTATTAAATGAAATTACTAAAATGCCTGTAAAATGTAAGATTTTACAGTGAAGTAAAGCAGTCAGAGCGCCCCCTGCTGTTAGTGTTAAATTGGAGGTGATGTAAGTCACAGGCTGTACAGCTCAGTGTGCCGAGTTGCCCCTCAATCAGATACATCTGTGTTAGTAATTAACTGACAGTAAAAGACAGAAATATAGACTTTATAAGTGTTTCCTCAAAACGGACTGTAATAAACTCTTTCACATGGATGACATCACCGTCACACACCCACAATGCAACATTCTGCTGTATTTCAGTCTTAGTTTTATTACTCGGTAAAATGTTCTGCTTTATTTATTATTTGTAGTTTGTAGCTGCTGTAGAATCACAAAGTGACAATTTCAGTGAAGTTCTTTTGGGAGGAACTTTGGGAGATTTTCAGTCAGTTATCAAAAATTCCTTTATCGAGAAATGAATGCAGACATAAAGAATCACAACCGGGAAAGGGTGCAGTTCTGCGCTTTCCCTCCCCTTAATGAGGTGAAGTGCTGTTACCTGGCAATAATTGTCCAGGTGTTTGAGTCTCCTCACAGCTACATCCCTGATCTGACTACGGCCAAAGAGGACTTTACCTAAAACACACACACACACACACACACACACACACACACACACACACACATACACACACACACACACAGCAATGAAATTAAAGCAATAAATGAATGGAGAAACATAACAAGTGTAGGTGCTTCCAGACAGGTGCACTGCATGCTCCAATTGATCATTTAGCATCCCTTCAGCTCTGTGTCAGGTATAAAAACACTGAGCAGGACCAGCTGACCTCGATTATGGATCAATAGGAAAAGATTCAAGGCCTTGTATAGACTGCCAGCTCAAATCTGATTTCTGCTTATCCAGATTGTATCCAGATTCAGTTGGCAAATCAGATCCAAACCACATTTGGAGCTGGTCAGATTTTTGCAGGTTTTTCTCAGTCTGGACGCTCTGGTCGCTCAAATTAGATTTTAAGTGTCTTTTGCGTCACTCACAACATGACAAACAACGACGATGTCAAATCCAGAGTGATGAAGTGCTGGGATTCAAGAAGAGCTCCAAAGATTCATGATTAGAGAGTTCAAGAGAGTTCTGAAGAGTTTGGAGGGGGAGATGATGCTCCTCCATCTCTCCTGCATCTGCGCTTGAAATCTGCATTGCCAGCGTAGCTACATAGTTACTGATGCCTATGTTGTTACCACTGCAACCCATGCAGATAGACTGGTGATACCTGGACACACAAATCTGATCTGATCACGCAAATAACAGAGCAAACAGTCGCCTTAAAAGATCTGTGTCTCGCGGGTGCTGTCTTAAACACTGCTTGCTGTTTCAGGGACAGCGCTCTGTTTTCACACAACAGACTGAGAGAAACGAAAGAAATCAGAGTGAGGGTTTACATGCACTGAAAAACCCCATTACTGACCTCATCTCTAGCCTCTTTATCAGATTTCTTAATCAGATTCATACACCTTAATCAGATCTAGGAAATCAGAGTGTTTGCACGACTACTTAATAATCAGATCACTGCAGAAATCCAATTATAATCGGATTGTTAAGTGCATGTAAACACAGTCGGTGACTAAAGTGAGCTCTGTGTTGAGGTCTGTGAGAAGGACATCAGTAAACAGATTGTGGTGAAACTGGAAAACAAACAAGGAGTGAAAACGGCCACTGAGTGTGTTTATACTGAATTACAGTGAGTACCTGGTAGAAACGGGATGATTCTGAGTTTGGGATCTCTCTGCCCCCCCTCCTCTGGAAACAAATCCAGCAGCTTCATCTGTAACACAGCAAACACTGCAGTTACACACACTACATATAACACTTACATACACACACACACATACACACAGTGTGTACCTGCAGGTTGAAGAAGTGGCTGTATCTCCTGTAGAGCAGCTGAGAGCTGGAGTCAGAGTATGAGACTGAGATAATGAACACCTGCACAGGTACACAACAACAGTGCTGCATGAGGAAACAATGACTGTATGTACACAGAGAGGTAACAACAAACTCAATTCCAAAAAAGTTTAAACGGATGCTGTTAGAAAGACATTCAGAAAACATCTTAAACAGGCGATGTAATCATGCTTGGATATAAAAGAAGCATCCTGGAAAGGTAGAGTCCTGTATGAGCCAGGACAGGTTGAGGCTCAACACTTTGCCCAAAATGTATCAGTAAAAAATCCAGCAAGCGACGTTCCTCAGCAAGCGATTGTGAGGAATTTAGGTATTTTACTCTTTACAGTGCATAACATTGTCAAAACATTCTGAGAAAACAGAGAAATCTCTGTGCCTCAAGGAAAAGGCGAAAACCAGAGCTGAATGCCTGACCTTTGACCCTACAGATGACACTGCAATAAAAATTGGCATGTTTCTGTGATGAGATCACCAGATGGACTCAGGAACACTTTAATAAACTGGAACAATATACTCCGTCTGTCGCTGCATCCACAAATGCACGTTAAGTCTGTACTCTGCGCAGCAGAAATGCCGCCGACTTCTCTGGGCTCGAGCTCATCTGAAATGGACTGATGCTCAGTGGAACGAGTGTTATGGTCTGACGAGTTAACCTTTCAGATTGTTTATGGAAATAATGGACGTCCTGTTCTCTGGGCCAAAGAGGAAAGGGCCCTTCCAGATTGTCACCAGCATAAAGTTCTAAATCCAGCATTTGTCATGCTATTAGTGGGGAACCTGCATCTGTGAAAGCACCATTAACACTGAACACATTTTTGAGCAACATATGCTGCCTTTTAAATGCTGTCTTTTTCAAGAAGCATTCTGCATGTGTTACAGTATCACGGCTGCATAATCAGAGTGTGGGTGCTAGACTGACCTGCCTGCAGTCCAGAACTGTCTCCAATTAAAACTGTCTGATTAAGCTCAGAATATGACAGCAAAAGGGCCCAGTTTCACAGCTAAAGTTCGTACAACTAAAAATGACAAAAAAAAATCCACTTTCAAAACTGATTTATGAGTTTGTGTCTTCAGTCCCCAAATAATTATTAAGTTCTATTAAAGGAAAGCTGATATAAAACAGTGGTAAACATGCTCCTGTAACAACTTTTTCACAAGATGTTGCAGGCACCTAATATAGAATAAGCATATAATTAAAAAATACAATAAATTCATGAGGTAAAATATCATATATTGTTCCATTGTACTGTTTTCAATGTAATACAGGTCAAACAGAATACACTAATCGCTGCTTTCTCATTTTAATAGTCATTTACAAGCTCTTCTAAAATTGTTGCAACTGGGTTTGTAGATACAGGAGACAGACAATGATTACAAGACAGGACTACAGACAAAACACAGGCGATAGAGATGACAAAGGAGCAGGACCAAGGTGAACATGCACAGTTTTAAAAGGGGTGGCTGGAGTGGCCAGTTCCTTCCATGTTGTTGGCTTCCACGTTGCTGTGAGGCAGGTGTTTGCACCTTTTAGGTGGTGAGTTGTTTTGCTATTGGCTGAGAAACTGCCCACCACAACAAATACCCCCCAACCCCTGCCCCCCTGATCGCACATACACACTTTAAGTACATCTTTTCTGTCCGACTTTGCTTTTAAGGGGAGAATGAATTGGCTATCAATGATCAGTGGAATATCTGTCTAACCTCTGTCTTCTCTTCACCCCAAACCCACCCTGCTCACACTTTCGCACTGCCAGTCTGCCAAAACTCTGCCACCCCTTTGCCACCCTTGGTAAATTTTTCTAGCTCTGCTACTGAAGGTGAAGAGGTGATAAGACCAATGTTGAGATGGGTTAGGAACACTGTTAAGACCAAACAAGCACAAAAACAAGCTCCACTGAATCTACTGCGGGCGAGTTAAATCTGAACTGAATGTGCGATTATGTTAGATAAGGTAACCTGATAAGTAGAGATAGGGGTGAAGGGGGCTTAAGGTCAAATTCCACATTTTCCTCAGAGTGACCAAACCCCAAAAACACTGCAGAACAACTGGGCTGAAGAGCAGAGCAATGAAGTGCAGAAGCTTGTCTGGCTCTCAGCTTCACTCCGGGCGAGATCACTGTAGCACTGTTTCTCAGAACACATTGCGCAACAGAACAGATTACATCTGCTGGAACCGACAGCAGGACTGTCCAGAGAGTGCAAACTCCACAGATCAGTTCCATCAATTCAGATGTTTGTGCTGAGAGAGCCATGCATTCTGTTTGGGGTGTAGACCTACATTTCAGTAATAACATTACCTCACGTCCTTAGAACTGTTTTTTCTTACAGTGCATGTGTCTCTCTCTCCCTGCGGGACACTTTATACTCCAGTGTGTTACACTCAGTGGCCCCACAAAAAGTTTTCATAGGGGTGGCCAGATGGGGCCACTGAAAATCTTGAGGTGGCACCAAAACCAAAAGCCACATCTGAATTTCAGGAATTCTATGATGCTGTTGTAGTTTATAGATGAGTTGAAAACTATCAATATTAGAGTTAAGGGGCTGCAGACTGATATACTTTGGTTTCTTATTTTAATAGGATGTTATTAAACATTGGGGCTGTCAAAACTGATTATTACTTCTAAAAACACACAGGTTCAAAAAATTTAATTACTGTTTTTGCACATTATGTCCATAAGAGAGCAAACTAATACAACCAAAGGGTCGCATGAGATTCAGTTTGCCCTCAGATTCATGAATCAGGCCCCCAAGAGCTGCATTCACTGAGCAGAAATCAGCACCAACAACACTGCAAGTAAAAAAGTGAACTGTAAATCTGCGCTTTGCCGCTGATTGGATCATTAAATTGAGGTGTAAAACTTTTTCAGCCATTTCACTTCCCACTGTTTCAGTGCTGAGTGTGTGAGTGTGACCGTGATATATCAGGGGAACATGAGGAGGAGCTGAATCAGGGGCATATTTTCAAGATCTGCCTTCAGATTGCTAGTGCTGGAATCCTAGGCTAACTGCAGCTTACACAGCTTGCATGGTTAGATCGCTTGGAGTGCTGATCTCTGGGGCTGTTTAGATTGCTCGGGGCATTTTAGATCGCTCAGAGTGCAGATCTCTCAACACGGTTGTTGTTGAATTATTGGCTCAGTTCAGCTGGACCTACATTTCATTTTAAATCATGAAAGTGACGCTGTGTCACTCATGCAGTTCACTCAGTTCAGCGGCTCAGGTCCGTATGTCTCACTGAGGTGGTGACTGGGGATCCAGCGATCAGGGTGGCTGCGGCTCCCCTGCCCCCCCTTTGACAATACCATTGGTTACACTCAGTTTCCCTCTCCAGGCTCCACCCACAACTGTGTTCTGAGCACAAAAAGACCTGCACTTGTGTGTTTTTTGTTTTTCTCATGCCTCATGCCATAGAGTCACATTTATTATCGCTTAATCTGCACAATCACTCTGCATTTTGATTATAGTCAGTGATATTTATTCTGTATGTGTGTGAAAGGTCAGGTTGTTAGGATACATCAGGTGGAGTTTTCATGTTGTTTTTAGGAATAAACATCTGATTTATTAAATGCGCTTCTCTATCACTTATTGTTGCTCTTCTGTTTTTGCTATATTGTTGGCATGTTTTGCAGTGCAATCAGGAAAATGTTGACAAAATATCAGCTGTAGTAAAGGAACTAGAACTGTAGGCCATTATAAATTAGCAAACTAGCAATGCTAAAACAGCTGAGGCTAATAAGCTTTCTGATTAGCCTATCAATCATATATTTATTTCCACCCAAAAACTCCACCCGATATATCCTTACAGTTAGATATATCATAAATGGCTTGTAGTTTTCAAAGTACATTATCAATTTCTAGATGAACAGTAGACATTCCCTGAAGGTGTTATTAATTTTTGCTAGAGCCCTAAACAACATGCAAAAAACAATAATAATATAAACACAAGCATGCATATGTAATTATCTACCAGCAGTTTATTATTCAGATTTTTCTAAAGGTAATGTGGATTCTGTGCTCTGGAGAAAGAAGCAGACACTGAGCTCCAGATTTGGGCATCAGATGTCATGTCGTGGTTTGGTGGAGTGCTCATGCAGCCTGGTCCAGCGCGGGTTACAGACTGAAGCGTGCAGTTCAGGCAGTTCTGGAGAGAATGTTTACTCACATAATGTTTGAAGGGGTTCCTGATCTTCTTAACGTCCACCACGCTGACCGCGGTGATGGTCCGAAGCTGCATGCTGGGTCCGTTGAGTGAAAGGAAAAGTTCAGGAAAAGTCTGGAGCTCAAAGACAAGAAGAAGAGACTGTGTGTGTGTGTGTGTGGGTGTGCGTGTGTGCAGTGAGGCGCCGCTGCAGTCTGGACAATCTCCAGCTAACACAGCTGGACTCAGCCAGATGGAGTGTGGTCACCAGAGGAGTGCAGCTCAACAACAGAGATCAGGAATCAAGTCAGCGACTCAGACTCTACATTACAACTCAGCCTCAGAAAAAAACACAAACAAAACTGGGCTATAGTGTTGGGCTATGATGTAATAATACAGTGCTGGGCTATAGTGCAAGTATATAGTGTTGGGCTACACTGTAAATATATAGTGTTGGGCTATGATGTAATTATACAATGTTGGGCTATAGTGTAAGTATGTAGTGTTGGTCTACACTGTAAATATATAATGTTGGGTTATAGTGTTGGGCTATGTTGTAAGTGTATCACGTTGGGTTGTAATGCAAGTATATAGTGTTGGGTTATAGTGCAAGTGTATACGCTTGGGCTATAGTGTAAGTGTATTGTGTTGGGTAATGATGTAATGATACAGGGTTGGGCTACATTGTAAGTGTATTGTAAGTGTATGGTGTTGGGTTATAACGTTGGTCTATAGTGTAAGTGTATAGTGTTGGACTATAGTGTAATGTATGGTGTTGGGTTATAGTGTAAGTATATAGTGTTGGGTTATAATGTAAGTGTATAGTGTTGGGTTATAGTGTTGGCCTATAGCGTAAGTGTATAGTCCTGGTCTATAGTGTAATTTATGGTGTTGGGTTATAGTGTAAGTGTATAGTTTTGGGTTATAGTGGTGGGCTATAGTGTAAGTGTATATTGTAGTGTTTTATAGTGTAAGTGTAAAGTGTTGGGTTATAGCATATGTGTATAGTTTTGTTCTATAGTGTAATTTATGGTGTTGGGTTATAGTGTAAGTGTATAGTGTTGGGTTGTAGTGTTGGGTTATAATGAAAGTGTATAGTGTTGGGTTATAGTGTAAGTGTATAGTGTTGGGTTATAATGTAAGTATATAGTGTTGGGTTATAATGTTGGGCTATACTGTAAGTGTATAGTGTTGGGTTATAATGTAAGTATATAGTGTTGGGTTATAGTGTAAGTATATGGTGTTGGGTTATAATGTAAGTGCATAATGTTGGGTTATAGTGTTGGGCTATAATGTATAGTATTGGGTTATAGTGTTGGGCTATAGTGTAAGTGTATAGTGTTGGGATATAATGTACGTATATAGTGTTGAGTTATGGTGTAAGTGTATAGTGTTGGGCTATAGTGTATAGTGTTGGGTTATTATAATTTCAAAGTGTCATTTTATAATCCAGTGTTGTTTGAGGTCCTTTCTGTGAAGAGTTTGCATGTTCTCCTTGTGTCTGCGTGGGTTTCCTCCGGGTGCTCCGGTTTCCTCCCACAGTCCAGAGACATGCAGTCAGGCCAACTGGATATGCTAAATTGCCCCTAGGTGTGAGTGTATGTGTGTGTGAATGTATATGTCTGTCTATCTGTCTGTCTGAACTGCGAAGGACTGGCGACCTGTCCAGGGCATGGGCCTTCTGCCCAGTGACCTCTGGGATAGGCTCCAGCTCCCCCCCGCAACCCAGAAAGATAAGCGGCTTAGAAAACGTGTGTGTGTGTGTGTGTGTGTGTGTGTGTGTGTGTGTGTGTGTGTGAGTGAGTGTGTGTGTTGATTTGTTCAGTTAGCTAGTCTGGCTGTGTGATTGGTCATTTAGTTCACTGTAATAAATTATTTACACAGTTAATATTAAAGTGAACTTTAACAGACTGAACATTCAGTTATAAACTGTGGTAAATATGAAGCCAGTGAAACAAACTGTATAATCAATACTCAGCAGTGTGGAAGATCCAGCTGACTGAGTGATCAGATCAGTGGGAGTTTAGGAGTAAAAGAGCAGATTTAACTGATCGGGCTTTTCACTTATCAATACATCTACAGAAGCCATCTGAAAGCTTATCATTGTTGTTATTATAGACTATTTAATAGAAAGATATGAATGAATGTGAGTAAGTAACTCCACCCACTCAGGGGTGTGGGTGTGACGCACTTCCTGTTTACATGCTGCAGTCCGCGTGGCGCTCCCTCACACAGTTGAGAGAGTGACGGGAGAGAAGGAGCGCTCGAGCTGCGAGGAGAGAGAGCGAGAGAGAGACAGAAAGTGAACGTGAGAGAGAGACGGTAAGATAATAATTTAATGATCTAATAATCTAATCAGCTGAGTTTACACTGTATGTTAATGTTTCGTTTGTTCAGCTTTCTCCCTCTATCCCTCTCTCTCTCTCTCCCTCTCTCTCTCTGTCTCTCTTTCTCTCTCTCTCTGTAATCCTTTTCTCTCTTTCTGCTCTTTCCTTTCTCTTTCTCTCCTTGTCTCCATTCCTCCTTTCCTCCATCTGTCTCTCAGTTCTTACTTTTTCTGTTGCCACCCCTTTGTTTCTCTCTCTTACCTTGTCTCCATCTTTTTTACACTTTTTCTCTTCTCTCTCATTTTCTCTCTTCTCTTCTTTTTCTCTTTCTATCTACTCTCTCTCTTTCTTTTTCATCTTACTTTTTTCTTTAATTTGTTCAATTCAGTTTTTCTCATTTCAAAGTAGCTCTGTTGACATGACCGTCTAAAGTACAGTGTTGCTAAAGCATATGATCTTGGTTCTCTACCTCTTTTTGTTTCCTAATCTCTCTCTCTCTCTCTCTCTCTCTCTCTCTCTCTCTCTCTCTCTCTCTCTCTCTCTCTGTGAGTTCAGTCAGTGTTTCTCAATCAGTGATGTGAATGTGAGGAATGCTTACTCAGCCTGTTACTCAGATAACACATACACAACACTTATCTGTGTGTGTGTGTGTGCCTGTGTGTGTGTGTGTGTGTGTGTGCCTGTGTGTGCTCTTTGCTCTGAGAGTTGCAGTACACATTTGAACTGTCAGCAGAGAGTCTTTAACTACAGACCCAAAAACCCACTAATCAATATCAGCCTTTAATAATCAATCAGTCTGATTACACACTCAACAGTAATTCATTCAGTTACCACACAAACCTGCTCTTCACACAGAGGAAGACAGTTTGATGAACATAAAGCTGAAGAAGATAAATATACACAGATCATCATCATCAGCAGCAGTTTAGCCCCACCCATTCAGCCTAAAGCAGTTTAGCCCCGCCCATTCAGTCTACAGCAGGTGCGGGTGTAACTGGTATAGAAAGCTGAAATTGGTGTACGAACGTAAATAATATGTTTGTGTGAGTGACTCATTGTTTCTGGTTTAATTACTCAGCATATTATTCTCTAAAGCTTCACACACACTCCCCTTACTGACAACACACTCTCTCCACCCTGCACTCACACACACACACACCTACCTGTTCTGTCTCACACACCTCACACACACCTTACACAGTGATCTGACCTCTGTCAAAAGTGAAATCTCTCAGCAAAAAAAGTTTTTGTTTTCCTGAGGGCGTTCTTTTTTCCAACTGGTAAACATGTGGACCTCGAGGTGGGAGTGTTGGAGAACCCCTGGATTAGAACATACTGACCTCCACCAGACATACTGCATCTGTTAATATACACAAAAGTACAGATTAAGTTCCAACTAAATTCCGGCAGCACTAGTGTAGATGTGTAACACTATATGTTTTCTATATGTGTATACAATAAGTGGAGATGCTGACCAGCAGGAAGGAGTTCCCAAAACTAAGAGCCAAGTTTTAGTAAAAAAATGTGTAAACAGAATCCAGAATTAAATATAATGTAGACATGATCCAACATCATACACATATTAAAGAGCAAGTCCACTGATTTTCCAAATTTTCAGCATACTTAAATGGTTAAGATGTAAACAGAGTTGTTCAAAGTGGTTTGGTGTGAAATGCTCCGTTCTAGAGAAAGTTAACGAGTCAGAATTGAATTCACAGTGTTGTTGATAGGAATCAGACGTCCACCTCTAAAAGCTCCCTCATAGAAAGTTATTACATGAAATGGTTATGAATACATGGCCTGATGTCTGAGACCCTGTTTTATGACAGTTTTGAGAACTTAAACTCCATTCATGGTGGAGGGATACATAATATGCAGGGTGCTGTGAGGCAAAATAGTCCCCAAAGAAAACGTATTATTTCAGATTTTCCACTCTTTTCCCATAAACATGCCATATAAAACTCAGAAGACACGTGTAGTTTCACTGGTGGTTTTGCATAGTAAATAAAATGTCTATATTTGTGTTGTAGTCATGGTGACCCCTGGCTCCCTACACCACCATTGTAAAGAAATCTGAACCATTTCACACCAAACCACTCTGAATCACTCAGATTACATCTCACACACTCAATTATGTAAAGAAATCGACAGAGTTCACCTTTAACACAAGATGTAAAGAAGCTATGACTTTAATTATCTCTCTCTCTCTCTCTTTCTCTCTCTCTCTCTCTCTCTCTCTCTCTCTCTCTCTCTCTGTAGGAATGGTGGAGTGGGCTGGAGCTGAGCTGTGGAGCACTGAGCAGGTTTCTCACTGGCTGAAGGATCAGGGTTTTGGTCAGTATGTGGATCTGCTGTGTGTGAAACACCGGCTGGACGGAGCTGGACTGCTGAGTTTAACTGAGAATGACCTGCGGTCACCTCCGCTACAGCTCCCCCTGCTTGGGGACATGAAACGGCTCATGCTTGCGCTGCGCAGACTGCAGAGACAACACGCCCCCAACGGCGTCTCTAAGTCACATGGATACGGATCTGATCGCTGGTTATGTAATGGTGAAGGCTGTAATGGGGTTGCCACGGCAGCCGCGGTTGTCGAGGAGGATCGCTGCCACGGTTACTCTAACGGGAAGTGTAAGCGGCGTGGCCGACTGGAGCCGGAGTGCTGGAAGACAGCGCTGATTACGGTTTACGTGACACTAGTGTTCGGGATCACGTCCTTCATCATGGTGCTGGTGCACGAGAAAGTACCGGACATTCACACCTACCCACCACTGCCCGACATATTCCTTGACAGGTCAGTGCATGTGTTCATATCTTTTTGGGACCAAGTAAGCCATAATGCTAACCAATCAGCGCTCAGAAGCAGTAATGCTAACCAATCAGTACTCTGTAGCAGTAATATTAACCAATCAGATCTCAGTAGCAGTAATGCTAACCAATCAGCACTCAGCAGTAGTAATGCTAACCAATCAGATCTCAGTAGCAGTAATGCTAACCAGTTAGTGCTCAGTAGCAGTAATGCTAACCAGTCAGGCCTCAGTAGCAGTAATGTTAACCAATCAGCACTCTGTAGCAGTAATGCCAACCAATCAGTGCTCAGTAGCAGTAATGCTAACCAATCAGTGCTTACTAGCAGTAATGCTAACCAATCAGTGCTCAGTAGCAGTGATGCTAACCAATCAGTGCTCAATAGCAGTGATGCTAACCAATCAGTGCTCAGTAGCAGTAATGCTCAGCTGTTTAGCTCCTTTTACCCTTATTCACTGAGGACTCTTCAGTGTTTTGCAGTTGTGTTTTTTGTACAGTGAGAGGAACAGGAAGTGTCTCCTGAACTGGCTCTGTCCTGACTTCATTAATCTCCTTGTCTGTATTGCAGTGTACCCAGAATTCCCTGGGCCTTTGCCATGGCTGAGGGCTGTGCGGTGGTCCTGGGCTGCATGCTGCTGCTTACACTGCTACTGCACAGACACAGGTATGCCAACACAAACACAGGTACACCAACACATGCACAGGTACACCAACACAAACACAGGTATACCAACACAAACACAGGTATACCAGCACAAACACAGGTGCACCAGCACAAACACAGGTGCACCAACACAAACACAGGTACACCAACATAAGCACAGGTACACCAACACAGACACAGGTACACCAACAAAAACTCAGATACCTCAACACAGACACAGGTACACCAACACAAGCACAGGTACACCAACACATGCACAGGGACACCAATACAAGCACAGGAACACCAACACATGCACAAGAACACCAACACAAGCACAGGAACACCAACACAAGCACAGGTACACAAACACATGCACAGGTACACCAACACAAGCATGAGTACACCTACACAAGCACAAGTACACCAGCACAAGCACAGGTACACCAACACATGCACAGGTACACCAACGAATGCACATGTACACAAACATAAACACAGGTACACAAACATAAACACAGGTACACAAACACAAATACCGGTACACCAGCACAAACACAAGTACACCAACACAAACACACAAATACAGGTACACCAACACAAACACAAGTACACAAACACAGGTACACAAACGCAGGTACACCAGCACAAACACAAAAAAACCAACACAAACACAGGTACAAAAACACAAGTACACCAACACAGACACATGTACATAGACGCAGACAGACACGTCCCCTCAGGAGCTGAATTCCCAAACAGAAAGCACTCAAGGGTTCTTTAGTAAAAGAAAAAAAAAAAGTATCATTATAGAACCATGAACACTCATAGAACCCTTTTCATGATAAAATGGTTCTCTGCATGGTAAAAGCATTTTTCAGCTTGATGGAAAATGTGTTGTACATGATTTTATTTAGAACCTTTTTATATAGAACCTGAAAATAGTTCTATTTGGCACCAAAAAGTATCCTTCTGTTCTAACAACCTTTACATTATATGTAATGGAAGAACCTTTTTTGGTGCTATATAGAACCCTTTTTTAAAAATCTTCTGTGTGCATTCTCCGTCTCCATGGTTATATTAGCTGTTACCATTGCTATTAAAGCTTACTGAGATGGTGTGTCTGTAGGTCTATTCTGTTCCGGCGGTTCTGCAGTTTGATGGGGACGGTGTTCCTGCTGCGCTGTGTCACCATGTTCGTCACCTCACTGTCTGTCCCAGGTCGTCACCTGCAGTGCTCAGGAAAGGTCAGACACACCTGCACACACACATAAACACATACACACACACACACACACACACACCTGCATCCTCTACACATATACAGAAAACATCACAGTCACCACATACAGAGCTGTGTAAATGATTCAGGCAGATAAATAGATTTAAAAAGCTGTTTATCTGTTCAGTAAATGTTTATTTACTCAGGAAACACTAATATTACAACAAAGGCAAATAATGTTAATACATTAATTAGTGATTTCATGTGTGTCAGTGTGTTAGCTGAACTGTTTCCAGCCCTCTCCTCAAAGAAGTCCTGCACTTACTCTCATCAAATACCTGCTTTATCCAATTTTAAACTATTTGCTTAGGTGTCTAAGATGTTTGCACAGTACTCTGCATATATATTTAAGTATGTTGTCAATTTCTAATTGTAGTTAATTAAATAATTTATATATAACAGAGGTGTGGACTCGAGTCATATGACTTGACACACGATTTTGATGATTGAAGACTCGACTCGAGAAAATCGAGAAAGACTTGTGACTCGACTTTGACTTGAACACCAATAACTCAGACTCTGACTTGGAAGGACCCGAAACCCTAGGTGGAAGAATCGTGAAGAGCCTGACTGCAGACGGCTAAACAGTCAGTTACTTTTCATGTGAATGGATTAATTTCCTGCCTTAAATCTGATACACAGCAACTCCGTCAGATATAGAATAGAACTAATCCAAATGTCTGTAAACAAGCAGTTTTGCAACATACAAAATAAATAAAAGTTGTTCTCTTTGGGGCTGTTATGTCGTATTTGAAGCCAGCTATGAGTTGGGATTTGATCAATTGAAAAAGATGTCTCTGGATTCTGAAGCGGAGGCGCCCCCTGCTGTTTACAGTATTTAATATCTTCAGCCTGTGTCTTATTTAGCTAAAAGTCACAGATTAAATGACATTGAGACTTTTATGTAATAAAACATTTATGTATTAAACTTATAAACTATTTTCTTTCCTGTTCTGAAATGTCTTTAGCTCCTGCTGGTGTGGGTTTCCTCTCTCTCAGTAATGCACTCAGAAGCTACTTGAGTGCAAATAGCGCCCCCTTGTGAGAGTTAAAAAGTCACTGTGCAGAAAATTAATTCAAAAATTAAACTGTAGTTAATTTACCTGCTGCTTTCTCACAATCTGCTTTCAAACTAACATTTGATTAGCGTTTTCTCACAACCAAATGCCAAACTGTTTGATGTATTGGGATTACTACTTTTTAGAATTATTATTATGTAGTTTTTATGTCAGGACTGCAGGGTTTTAATTTGTAGCTTTTCTCGCACCAGCGCTACCTGCTCAAACAGTCACACACATCACACTTTCATTTATCACAAGATATACAGTTTTCTGCATCCAGTTAACACATTGTATGTGTATATATTTGTATGTATGTGTGTCTGTGTGTGTTATAGATGTACGGTGATCTGTGGGCAAAGCTCCATCGAGCGTTACAGATCTGGACAGGTTTGGGAATGTCTCTGACTGGAGTGCACACGTGTGGAGATTACATGTTCAGTGGACACACGGTGGTTCTGACCATGCTCAACTTCTTCATCACTGAGTGTGAGTGAGATAAACTCTAATATAATAATAATTACAATGTATCATCACTGTTGTGGTAAAACCTTGTATTTCCAAAATGGTACACTCAGAGTATATTGAGGGAGACCTTCATTTACAGTGTAGCCAAGCCAGTACAGACACCAGGGATTACAAAAATTAGCAAAAATATATCAAATACTAAAAATTGATCACATAAATAATAATATTCAGAATAAACTGGTTAAATAGTGAAAAAATAAAATAATTTAATAGAAGATAGATCAAATAGGGATATAATCATTTAAAACATATCAATGAAAAATAAATTGTTGCTGTCGGAAGAAAACATTGTATCTCCATTTCTGTCGTTTTTCAGTTATGAACTTGAAAATACCTGTTGTCCTTTACACTGTGTGTAAATTTCATGATGAATGGACCAAAAGTAACGACCAAAAAATTACTTGGAAAAACGTCTGGTTCCGTTGACTTACATTAAAAGTAAAGTATGTTCTTTTCTTCTCCTGTAAAGGTCTCATTTTGGAGATACGATGTTTTGTTCCGACAACATCGAAATATATGTATGTCAAAAAATATTATAATATTAATATTGATTATAAAAAATTAAACCGAAAATGTAAAATAATAACTGAGAGTAAAAGTTGATAATAAAATAAATAAAAAGAACAATAAATGTAAAATAATGACTAAAACACACTAAAATCAAATTAAAACTTTACTAAAATCAATAAAACAGTGTCAGGCTGAGTAGAGGTGGTTTAAAGTGTTCCAGTGACTCAGATTTTCCCAGTTCAGGAAAAGCTCTCAGCACCTGAAGGCTGATCAGTCACGAATTGAGTCTGATACACTGCATTATCTACACTGAGCATTTCTATGATTTCAGTCAGTAAGAGCTTTATAGATAAAAAGAAGCCGACACAGCCAGAGATGACCAGCTGACCTCTTCGTACAGTACACAGTGATGGTCTGTAGGTTCACCAGTAATGAGTCTTAAGGCAGGGCGGAGCACAGAGTCTGTAGATTTGAGAGTCGTTGCAGATGCAGATCTGTATATCACCACCAAAATCCAGGACTGACAATAACGCTGCTTTGACGATCTTTGCTGTGGTAGACAGCTACCATAACAGTAACATTGTTGATGTGCACTTAAATATGGACCTGGCTGCATAACAATAACAGCAGTAACAGGTGAAGAGTGGAGTAGCTGTGCTGATTTGTGTGTGTGTCCTGTAGATACACCCCGTAAGTGGCACCTGGTCCACACGCTGTCGTGGGTGCTGAACCTGTTTGGGATCTTCTTCATCCTGGCGGCTCATGAACATTACTCCCTCGATGTCTTCATTGCCTTCTACATCACCACCCGGCTCTTCCTGTACTACCACACGCTGTCCAGCACTCACGCCGTCCAGCACAGCCGCCGCGCTCGCGTCTGGTTCCCGCTGTTCTCCTTCAGCGAGAGTAATGTCAACGGACCCGTCCCAAACGAGTATGCCTGGCCTTTCTCCAGACCCAGACTCCTCAGAGCACTCATAGGATAAACGCTGATTAAACCCACTAATCCTATCGAGAAACTGTAGAACACATTTCTGTCCAGCTTCACTATAGCAGATATGAGCAAACGTTGGTGTCAAAGCTCATATAATGTTTACATTGTTTCGGAGCTGATTAACTGTTTAATTAAATAAGTTACTGCAGTCAGTCTTACAGATCAGTGCTCTGACAGAGGAGTCAGTTATTTATTATCATTATTAATATTTATTCCTCTGTCAGTGATCAAGGCTTGTACTGAGTGGTTTACAGGTGATGATGATGGTGAAGGTGTTTACAGGTGAGTCTTCAGCACATGTTCAGGTTGACGTGAAGCTGTTTAACTCCTTCATTCTGCCGAGTTTAGTACTAATATTATTATTAGTATTACTAATGTTTTATTATTATTGTACAATTTACGTGTGGAATATTAACGACACAAAGCTGCCTGAGAGAATTACTGACCATTAATGTCTTAGAACATCAAAAAGCACTTTAATAACTGTCTGTAATTGCTGCTTTCTTAATAATACAATAATGTAATAGCTCTAATCTATTTTTGCACAGATTTAACTTGTAAACTAACTTATAAAATAACTATATGTATATATGTTTGGAATACAACCTTTTTTCCTTTTTTTACCGAATATTGCCAAATCAGCATTTTTACTGGAACACCCTTTTTTGTTTGTTTGTTTGTTTTGTTTTTTTTTTGTTAGTTTTTTTGTTTTTCTCTTAATATCAGTGAATACAGATTTCTCTGGAATATCACTTTTTTCTTTTTTTTTCTCCTAATATCATGGTGTAGGGGCGATAAATTGATCTTGAGGCTGATGGGGTTACAGAATCTGCCAAACAGAACTCCGCTCTAATGGAGTTAATATTCCAGCCTAAATAAAACTAATTTGAATCTCAATGAAGAGCATTTTGCCAAAAACCCATCAGTCTCTCCCCAACACAGATTTAAGATGAGCTTAATGTATTCTGGGTAAATTTCTTTCCAAACTATGACTTTAATACAGATTTACACTGAAAGAAAGAAAAGCAGTAGTTTGTAAATGACGCTGAATGATGTGCTGGATCATGTGTTTGTGTTTTCAGTACTTACTGATTAATTTATATTATACAGTCAGTTTATATTGATCTGATGCTGATTTTTACAGTAAATGCTGTTTTTCTGGATCTATAATAAACATTTATATTTACACTCAACACTGCGTCACTGTGTGTGTGTGTGTGTGTTTGTGTGTTACTGAGAGTCAGTGATTCGGAAATTCAATCCCTCATTCGGGAATTAAACTCACTAAACACCCTCACTAAACACTCATGTGGTCCTGCATACCAATTAAACACATTATTGATCAGTTAATCGCACTACTGACTCAGCTACTCCCCCACTGTCCCATCACTCTGTCTGGAGGAGACACATCAGCAGTAAGATTAGCAGAGGAGAGCAGCAGAATCTCCTCACAGCACTGACCATCGCCAACAATAACTCTGCTGAACTGGAGTTTAAGGAGGACCAACATCACTCACTGGAAGAACTTATTCACTGACTACATGATCATCACTGGAACATCTTTTAGCAACAATCAACAGCTAATCCACTGAACTCAGCTCCACCTGGTCAGGAATAATAAACCCCACTAACAGCCACCAATACTGAAAAATAATCTAATGGATAAATTCAGTTTATTCATACAAACGCAAACACTCCACGGAACCACTGGCGTTTCTGCAAACATAGCCCCCCCCCCAACCCCCCAACACACACACAAACACACAAACAATGGTGTTGTAAATAGTTATCATCTAAATTTTGATTTGCTTTATGCACGAATGTTAATTATATTCACACTCATTTAATTTTTATTTTCTTTATTTCATTTTTATTTAGTTTATTTTCTTTCTGTCCTCCTTATTAAAGACCTCATTGATTCATAAAATATGTATCATAAGTAATAAAGCACTGTAGGTCCTCTAAACAGGGGAGTGACCGACAAAAATAAATAAATAAATAAAACGTTCTTTTTATTATTTTTAACGCTGAATGTAATAAAACAGTCCTTTAAGTATTCAAACAGTGTATAAACCCTCTCAGGAACAATATCATTTACAGCGTTTCTGTGAAGTAACTGGTTTTAATAGCACAGAATTAGCAAATACACACAATGAGGTTAACTAGCATCCATGCTAACAGCACAAGGACAAGACATTAATTTACTTAAATACTAAATAAGTATTAATAATTTCAATGTGTAATTTGGACAACAGGGTTAAAATCCTATCACTCAGTATACAGCTTTCTTTTCAGTTCCACCTTTAATGGTGCAGCAGGAATGGAAAATTTGATTTTCAGCCTTCTGGTTCCTGCGCTGATGGATGCTGGATGTTCTTAGAAGCTCCACTGTAGTTCTGCTGGGAAACTTAGAACTCCAGAAGTCATCATTTCTTTACAACAGTAGCTCTTTTATTTTGGGATGGTTTTCATGTTCCTCTGTCCACCTCTGTTCATCTCCAGCTGGAACAGTTGGGATGGTGATGATCTACCTGCCTTTCATAAAGCAGGATTTCTCAGTAAAGCTGGATAATTCAAGCCTAAAGTGAGGACTGTCCAATAGAAATGTCCCTTAGTGCGCCCCCTACTGGACAAACTTGAGTTTGGAAGTTTTCAGGCTAACAGAGAAAATCCAGCTTCATCGAACAGCTCAAAAACTAGTCCTGTCCCCACCTGCAGTACATCGCTCTCACCACATGGGGGTGAGAGCACACAACAGTACTAAATACAGAATACAGAGAAATGCACACAACCAGCTACAGCTCAGTCAATTAGAACACCGGGGAGAGGGGAGAGGAGGAGAGAAGAGAGGGATTAACAAGAGAAGAGAAGAGAAGAGAGAGAAGAGAAGAGAAGAGAGATGGACAGAATGAATGCTGTAGTTAGAGGAGTGAGGCTGGAGCTGAGTGAAGATCAGACACTAAGGTGAGCTTTACCTTCACCTGCTCTGCAGGACTGACTGATGTTTTGAACAGTTATGACCAGAACAGTCTTCGGAGTTTAATACTGATCTCTGTCTCAGCTGAGCTATTTACAATTTACTGTATTTACTCAGCTTTAAAATATACAAACGATAAACAGAAGACAGTAAACGATAATAATAACAACAGTAAAACAGCAATAAACAGAGCAAAATTCTTATTATATAAAATATTCTGAAAGCACCGGTGAAAATGCTCCTAATTTGGTTTGTTTGTTTTTCAATTTGAATATGATTTCACTGTAGATCACATTACACAGCAATATAATAGCAAAAAGTAGAATTTTAACATGAACATAAGAATTCCTCAGTGTTTGGTGGACTGTCCCTCTTTAGCTTTAATGACAGTGTGAACTGGATTGGAATGAACTCAAGTTTTTGTAAAATCTCTGATGAGCAGATCAAATCCACCTGACCTTAATAATAATAATAATAATAATAATCATCATCATCATCATCATCAGTTTCAGTGGAAAGAATAAAACTCAAACCAAATCTGAGCTTTTAGTGCAAAGACCTGAACATCACTTATCTGATTAAGTTTGAATCAAGATCTAGAGATGCAGAATCTTCAATATTTCATCATTATTTTAAATGACTGATAATTGGTCATAACTTTTGGTTCTAAATATATCTAAATTTCAAAATTTTCTGTTTAGGTTTAAATGAAAAAATAACTTCAATGATTTTCGGTCTGATCTCAGATGTTTGGAGTCCATTGTGTTCAGATGTAATAATGTAATCATCTCTCTCTTTCTCATTAAAAATATGAAATTTTAGCCAAACAAGCCCTCTAAACCTCTCTGTCAGAGTAAAACAAGAAAATACAAAATCAGAAAACTGTGTGTGTGTGTGTGTGAGAGAGAGAGAGCAGTGTGTGTATGTGTGTGTGTGTGAGTGGTTATTTCTGTTCTGTTTGTTGTATTCGATGCTGGGGGAAGTGCTGACCTCCTCTGAATCCAGAGAATCCCTCTGGACCACTGCAGTAAATGTCTCCACTGAGCTGCAGACCTGAGCAGTTTAGGCTGATTAGATTATCATTAATGCTCAGAGTCGTTACAGGCAGTGTTCAAAAGCCATTGAGAGGAAAACATCTCAGTAATCTGTCTGTTAATGTGCTGCACTGTGGGGTCAGATAAACCCCTGTTACTGTACCTGACCTTCAGACTGATGTAGACTTTGTGAGTGAGTGTGTCAGTAGAGCAGGTCAGCTCTCACTGCACAGCTCTCACTGTTCTTTTTATTATTTTTAACGCTGAATGTAATAAAACAGTCCTTTAAGTATTCAAACAGTGTATAAACCCTCTCAGGAACAATATCATTTGCAGTGTTTCTGTGAAGTAACTGGGTTTAATAGCACAGAATTAGCAAATAAACACAATGAGGTTAACTAGCATCCATGCTAACAGCACAAGGACAAGACATTAATTTACTTAAAATACTAAATAACTAAAATACTAAATAAGTATTCAGCTCTTCACTGCCCAGCTCTCTCTGTCCAACTCTCAGTGTGAGCTCTCACAGTCTAGCTCTCACTGCCCAGCTCTCACAGTCCAGCTCTCGCTACCCAGTTCTCACTACCCAGCTCTCACAGTCCACCTCTCACTGCACTGCTCTCACAGTCCAGCTCTCACTGCCCAACTCTTGCAGTCCAGCTCTCACTGCCCAACTTTCACTGCCCAGCTCTCACAGTCGAGCTCTCACTGCCCAGCTCTCAGTCTAGCTCTCACTGCCTAGCTCTCACAGTCCAGCTTTCACTGCCAAGCTCTCACAGTCCACCTCTCACTGCACTGCTCTCACAGTCCAGCTCTCACTGCCCAGCTCTCACAGTCCAGCTCTTAAAGTCCAGCTCTCAGTCCAGCTCTCACTGCCCAGCTCTCACAGTCCAGCTCTCACTGCAAAGCTCTCACTGCACCTGTTTGTATAGTAACGCCATTTCGTTTACATGTGGAAATGCTGCTGTGCTAGTGTGTCTAATAAAAGCATCAACATCCACAACTACACAGTTTATGTTTACATCATCCTGTAGACTTTAGATTTGTACCTCATAAAAACATAAAGTCACACACACGTCCACAATAGTTTAGATGATGTTCGTCCGATTTAATAATGCGAAAAATCCCAAACCATTTAAACTGCTGTAGTATAAACACAAACTGAAGAGCAGAAACTCAAAGCAGTGACTTCAGCCAGGTAGGAAATCAGAGTCTCTCTAATTCAGTTTCTCGAACATCAACATCTGATCAGAGACTCTATCAGCTGCTGATATGATGATGTGGAGAACAGAGAGTGGAGAGAGAGGGACTGAGACTGACAGAGACTGATATATATATATATATATATATATATATATATATATATATATATATATATATATATATATATCTACTCAGAGAAAGTATCTTTGCTGGTTACAAATAGGTTGGAGAGAAAGCTAGTACTGACCTCAGATACTGCTAGAAACAAAAGCCTATGTTGATACCTAGAGAAAAAGAAACAGAGTTGAACAAAGCGCAATACAATATATTTCAATAAGTGCAGTACATTACAATAAATACTTAAGTGCTGTATATATATACACATATATATATAAATATATATATACATATATATATATATATATATAGAGAGAGAGAGAGAGAGAGAGAGAGAGAGAGAGAGTGAGAGAGACAGACAGCACTGCATTAAAACCAGACATGATTCTGTAGTGGAAATCACTGCATGGGCTCAGGAACACTTCTGAAAACCACTGTCTGTGAAAACAGTTAGTCACTGCATCCGCAAATGCAAGTTAAAACTCTAAAACGCAAAGAAGAAACCACATATAAACAGGCGCCAGAAGTGTTGCCACCTTCTCTGGGCCAGGGCTCACTTAAAATGGACTGAGGTGAAGTGGAAAAGTGTCCTGTGGTCCTGTGATCAACATTTGAAATTCTTTTTAAAAATCATGGACACTGTGTCCTCCGGGCTAAAGACCACTCAGCTTGTTATCAGTGTACAGTTCAAAAACCAGTATTCATGATGGTATAGGGGGGCATTAGTGCACATGGCATGGGTGACGTGCACATCTGTGAAGGCACCATTAATGCTGAATGATATGTACAGGTTTCAGCAACATATGCTGCCATCCAGATGACGTCTTTTTCAGGAAAGGCCTTGATTATTTCAGTCAGA